CAGTAGCACCACCTCTTTCCTTAGTTTTGACAAACGATAAATGCCACCACGCCTTGCTAATGTCAGTGGAGGCACAAACTACATGCACTTGGGATCCCTTACCTAACCATCCTTTCTTAATTTAAGAAACAAAAAAAAATCTCTTCTACCCATCCAGGCACACTACCCCTAGAACCTATAATTTAAAAGAAGGAATATAGTTAACTGGTAAGAGATTAAGTCAAATATATTTGTTGTTTTTGTTTTTTTACCAATCAATACATACAAGATTCTACTCTTGAGAAAAACAGAAAATTTGTACAAAGATAAGTCTGGATAAATACTAATGCTAAGTTAGTATGTTTTTAGCCAATAATGCTTGTTAAATGTGAAGAGCTGTCTAGTAGCAATTGAACAGGCTTAATATCTAGTCGATGTGTATTACTTTCCTTATGGACCCTGACGGTAAATATGCTATTAAGTAATCTATTAGTGCAAACTGAATTTAGTATTTCTTTTTTACCTCCAATTATATTCATCATTTTAGAATTATAATCCCCAGTCTTATGCAGTGTGAGTGGAATTGTCAATGTACCTGTTCATACAATTCTGCATAATATACTTGGTGTTAAGTGTTTGCAGAGATCCAATGCTCAAGATTTTTACGAGTGCATCAATTTTTCATGACACTTTTATGGATTCAGATATACTGAATTGAGAAGTTAAAATTTTGTCTGCTTACCTTTCCTGTTATTTTTAAAGCTGATTAAACACACACACACACACACACAATAACAACAACAACATAGTTTTATAGTTAAGGTAGGCAACCCACCTGGTACTTGAGGGTTCATAGTCAAAGTGGGCAACCTTCTGCACACTTATTTAGTGCTTTATCTTCCTTTTCTTGGTTTCTCACATTCCAGAGATAAACTTCCTTTGTAATGACAAGGAGCACATTTATTCCTTCTTCATTTTCACTTCAATACCACACTTAATAATTCTCTTAAAATTTTCTTCATATCAGGTAATTTTAATGATTTCTTAACAATTTTAAAATAAGTGTCAATATAGTTTTTACCTATTAGACAAGTGGTGAATATCTGATATATGACCTAATAGCAATTTGTTAAATTTGGTGTAGTTGTTCCACATTTCTGCAAGTATCTATTGCACAGATGATGTTTAGGCCACTAATCAGTGAGGGCTCCATAGGTTAATAATAAGAAGATCACTGTCTTTAATAAACCTGCAAGTAAAGTTGAATAGAAATAACCAATGTAATACAGAGTATTATAAGGGAATGACAAGGAGCCAAGGAAAAGGAGGGCATACAAGATTTTCTGTAGAGGAGGCAGTCTCTATTATAATCCTACATCCTCAGCTACCTGCAAGAAATCCCATCCAAAGTGAGAGGAAATTCTCTGATCCTTTCTGTGGGGCACAAGCACCCACCCTCTTCAGGGTGTAATCTGTTCTAAATTTTAGAATAATTTGCAACATTGTGAACTCCTTGAACAAACAATCTATTAAGTCATGCAACACATAACACAAACATTTTATTCTATTTTATTTTACTTTTGGTACTGGGGATTGAAATCAGGGGCCCATTACCACTGAACCACATCCCCAGGCTTTTATTTTATTTTATTTTATTGAGACAGGATCTCACTAAGTTGCTTAAGGTCTTGCTAAGTTGCTGAGGCTGGTCTTGAACTTGCAATGCTCCTGTCTCAGACTACTGAACCACTGGAATTACAGGCATGCACCACTGCTCCTGGCTATACCTACAGATTTTAAAAATACATTTCTTTACACTTTTCCTGCTTTAGCCCAGACTGATTTGGGAGATAAAAATCAGTAGTTATACAATTCTGAACTGCACTACCCAGTCTTGGAGTAGCATTCCATGTGGATGATGCTTCGTTATTATCTTGGTACTATCCTAGCATGGCCCTAGAGTCCTCATTTACTTTGCAGGCCTGCCTAACACCTGGGAGCAAACTCACCTCTTAATGCAAGCCCATCATACTTTTTGTTGAGTTGGTGATTGCTGGGAGCCTGGGTCTGCATTTAGATCAACCATTCTTTTTTTCCCTACAGCCTGGCGATCTATGATTAACCTGTGTGACTTATTATTTTTTCTTAATTAAAAAAAGAGAAACATAGGCTCCTTCAAATTGAGACTACTTTGACTTTTATCATCTTTCTATTATGGATTAAATACTTCCTATAGTTTAAAAAGTTACCACTTTAAATCAAGATTTTAAAAAGGTAAAACTAATAATAGAATAGTTCTGAAATCACATTGTTCTTTTGCTCATTTTTCAATAAGTTTTAGTTAATATTGTAGAGGGATTTATTCTCTAGTTTATAAGGACAACACATTTACTTTGGAACTTTTCACCACGTTAAAAAGAACCCTAAAATATCTGGAGAAGTGATATTTTAAGCATTATATTGTGCTCTGGTGGTTAGAGTTTAGCAAAATACAAATCAATAAAAAGTATATTCCATTTGTTTGTAAGTAAAAGATAGACTTAAAAATTAAATAAGGATAAAAGGAAAAGTAAAAATAAGGTGTTTTGTAGATTGTCATGACAAAATTTGCACATAATGCATTGTTGCAGTAGATGCATTTTTATGGGTCTGGCAATTTTTCTGAAATAGTCGATTACTTTCTTAGGTAAGATAAATCTGAACAGTCTCAGAGAATAATTTGGAATAATGATCTATGCAATTTTAACTTTTCCATTGATAATAATTGTTAAAATGTCAAAGGAACTTAAAAGCCTGACTGAAACTACCTTGTGCTGATAAAGAAATTCACCCAATTGATTTGTGTATATTGTAGGGTAGTTTTTAAGATGGGAGCATGGAATATAAGATACCCTATATTCTTTATCTGCATGTGTGACCCTGTTAGTTTACATGGCAGGTATTTACCTAGAACCCATATTATTGCAGATTACATTTTTCATATATTCAGGTAAATAACATAAAAATCTATGTCTTTGTTTAATTTATAGACCATATTTGTGTCAAATATATTAGATGTTGGTTTTTTTTTTAAATGACCATATCAAGGCCATATTCTGGGCTAAGGATATTCAGGGTACTTCTCTGTGATGTAGCAAGTCTGGTCATTGCTGTGTTGAGCTGTGTAGGTAAGAAAGCACAAAGAGAAACCTGCTGGCGATTTAAAATACATTTGCACAGGTATATTTTTGTCCTCAATAGAAAAGAAAAATATCATAATTTTACATTCAAAAATGTCATTAATGGTCTAAAAGACAGGAAGCAGTCTGTTGATTAATTCAGAAGTGCCCTTAAGTTGAGAGGTGCTGGGAACACCACCAAGGATAGAGAAGTGATATCTCAAAAGAGCAGAGCAAAAAAGGTAAAATCAAGCCTGAAAAGAAGCAGTAAGCATCTGCAAAGTGAGCTCTCTTCTCCTCCTAGGACCTCCAAATTATCAAACACATTTAATTATTCACAAAAATATTGACATGGCTGAGAAACACATTCTGGGAGGTGGAGATACTAAATGATACTTAAATCTAGCTATGTTAATAAAACAAATAGATAAAGCAGAGAAGGAAGATGTGTGTATCTTGACACACAACTTATGTCAAATTCTTATTTGAAATTTAAAAAAAAAAAGGATTCACCTGAAAATAGTGGGAAAAAATAGTCTTGGACCATAGATGAGTTATTTAAAAAGACTCAACAGTTTTCCTCCATATGAGAGACACAAATTGGCCTCTAAGTCTCTCTGTGGTCAGTCTGTGGATTATGTACAGATTTCCTTTCTATGCATGGGTGAGGAATCTCTATGCCTGACTGTTTTCACCTGAGAAAAGAATCTGAATTTGACTCGATTTGGGAAACACAGGGGAATATGGTGTTTTAATTGTTCTGCCATCATACTCTTGACTCTTTCTGTCCATTCCCTCACACCCAGAGTGTCAAGAAGTTGGCTGTGTAGCTGTGAACAGGGTCTGGAACCATCTTTCTGTGGGACAATCATAAATCTTGCCAAGGGGTACACAGAGAGACTTTTTCTTTCTTCCTCACTTTTTTTTTTAATTCATTTATTGCTTGTTTGATTTTTTTTTTCATTGTCAGATTTTCTGCTGGAAAATTGAAAGAAAGAACTTTATTCACCATGAAGTAATTATCCCTTCTCTGCTAACCTGTGTTCTTTGCCCCCTTCTTTGGAGTTTCAGAAAGGGATAATTTCAGTTTACTAAAAAAAATCATTTTGACAAACATTTATCCTTCATCTTCTCTGGAATGACTTACAAAATTGTTTCTTCATCTCCCATGAAAAACTGCATTCATTCAATACGACAAGAAATGCTGGGAGAAAAGTACCTTGTCATTAGATAACCTGCTGCTCTCAGCAGCTAGAACTAGACTTGGGCCAGATGATGCTTGCGTTGATTTTCTTGATACAACACGAATGCACTTGTCCTTGGACTTACACACTTCTTATTTCTTGGAGTGTATTGCAAATTCCTAAGGGTCAGTAGTGAACTCTGAAATCTAGTCTTGTTCTTGCATCAGTGGAGCATAACTTGAGACTACTATCATGCAAGACTTTATGAAATACTTAGGAAAGAATACAAGATGGAGCAAAAGTGACATGATATCATTGTATAATTCTCAAAAATACTTGAGCAAATGGAGTTCTGTGTGAATGAATGACCTTTTCATAAACAAGTTGAAGGTAATCCAGTGGGAAGTCAATACTCATTTAATGTTATTGGCCTGAATTACTAATACTCAGATTGTTTATTGCTGAGCTGAATCTAATATAATGACATTCGTCCGTTGGATGGTAATTAGATCTTAAAGGAAACAGTGAAGTTACTAAGGACCCCAAGAAATGTCATGGTAGTGATTCATTATGCGTATAATTATTTTTCTTGATTGATCTTGTTGAGTCAAATCATGCAGAGAATGAAAGCAGTTACAGTTATGGTTAAGCCACTAACATTATTACTCTGCTCTGTCAGATGTGTTGTAGAAGACAAGAACTCAAAGGTGGCCTGGTTGAACCGTTCTGGTATCATTTTTGCTGGACATGACAAGTGGTCTCTGGATCCCCGGGTTGAGCTGGAGAAACGCCACTCTCTGGAATACAGCCTCCGCATCCAGAAGGTGGATGTCTATGATGAGGGTTCCTACACATGCTCTGTTCAGACACAGCATGAGCCCAAGACCTCCCAAGTTTACTTGATCGTGCAAGGTAAGATAAGAGTGGGATATAAGGTGGTAAGGAAGAGATGCAGTTGGAGAATAAGCATTATATATAAAATATTTACAAAATTCTTTCTAAAAAGGAAAAACTTCCAAATGCAGGATTGCCCTTAAGTATCTGGTTTCCTTCTACAAAATGGATTTTAAGTGAGAGGGCTAAAGAGAATAGAGAGAGTACCCTTGCCACTGTGAGCCAGTACCTTTGACAAGAAGGGTTTCTCCTAGTTCAGAATATAAAAACATACAGCAAAACTTACAGCTATTAAAAAAAAAGGTAAAATAGGAACGTAGGAACATACAGAGTGCTTAGAACCACAGGAAGTTCACTTTACTACCCTACCAGGTACCTGTGTTTCACCAAACTTAAGAGAGTTGGGTTTTACCTCTCCTTGTCCTAATTAAAATTTTTCATTAATTATCTGTTTTTATGACAGAAAGAAATATTTTAGAACAATAATGGTCCCCACAGGCCTTGATATCAGCGGTCCAGCTTTGTGTGATTTGTATCTTCACTACATAACAAGTTACTTGTGACCAAGTCCACTGACAAGGAACTTCAAAGTCATTAGGGACAATTTGCTTTGAGACTGGGGTTTCCACAGGCACATCTGAGTCGGGGTTTTACAGAATGCAAACTCTAAATGGCATATGCATGCTCCTTAACAATAGCTCCCTTGAGTCCCTTTTCTCATAATTGCAAAATGAAAACAAAGCTGATCAGCTGCAAAATTTTTTTGCAAAGTAAAGTCAAACCACCAGCAGTTTCAATCCATCTATCAGGAAAGATCTAAACGCTAACAAATATTAGGGCTGTGTTTGTGTATTCCTGATTTACAATTTTATGTAAATTTAATGCAAATTAGGCATGGCCCTAGGGCTCCTGTCAGGATTCCAGTGCAGTCAGTGGTGTGGCAAAGTTTGACTATAGCTTCTATTAATGTGTTATGGAATTGATTATTGCCGTGTTTAAATTATTGCTCTTCCAGATTGTCTGATTAATAGATTGAAACTAGAATAAAATACATCAGAGACTGGCTGATGCAAGAGTGGTTTAGTCAGGTGGCTGCTATCTTGGTCCATTTTCAATGGCTGACAACTTCATTTTATTCCTAATAAAAGGTGTATCTACTGGTTTGCAAAGTCCCAATCACAGTCAAAACATAGCACACTTTCCTTGTACTTTAGTGAAGAGTGCATGAGCTCTGTAATGAGAGACACTAGGGTTTAGATCTCTGGGACAACATTTAATAAGATATGTAACTAGAAATATGTAAACACATCGAGGCGTTAATTTATCAGCTCCCTTGGAGCACGTACAGGTACACACATGTACAAACACACACACTCCTACCTCAAAAGGAGAATTTTTTTAACCTGATTAAGTGGTAAAGGGAGAAGTGATAACTAAGGCTCTTCAGAACAAATTTTATCTAATGGCCTGTTATTAATACTATCTTGCGATTTTTCTTTCTTAGTATTTATTGTATTTCATTCATATATTTATTTATAATGTTCTATGCTTTAAAAATCCTGCTTAACTCTGAGATTTTTTTAATACAATTTTAGTATCTTTATAGCTTTTATTGTCATTAGAAGGATCCTAGAGAGACCACAATAGATATTTTGTATTGTCCTATACTAAATAAAATTCAATGATCTGACTATTATATTTCTTGGTGAGGAAGAGATGAGAAAAGAAACCATTAAGTGTAAGTTTTTTGCTCAAGATCACACATAATTCAGGGAGCAGTTGAGAGCCAAGCAGATCTGAAGTCAAATTTAAAGCACTTTCTAATAGAAAGGAATCTTCCCTTATAATTTTTTAAGAACTACTATAAGGGTTTTTTATTTAAGTCTGAGCTGATACACAGAGTTTCTTCTTTTATTTTATTTATTTTCTTATTTACCTGTGTACTTTTAAGCTACAAAACATGGCCTTTGCAATAAGGTTAAAACCAGAGCTCAGTTAGATCTTATTATACCAACCTTCATACCATGGAAGTGCTAGTGAAAATTAAGTTAACATAATATTAAGGGTTGGAAAAGAGCTACATTGTCAAGTGCTATTTATTGTCTTGTTTAATTATCATATTACTATTAAGTAGATATAAATAATTTTATATGTATATTAAAACTTTTATACACACACATATATTCAAACAGTTAAAGTTCAGAGATAATAAAAAATATCCAAAGTTCCCTATTGGCTTAGGACAGAGTTTCAAACCCACATCTATCTGATTCAAGATAATATATTTTTTTCTTCTTTTAACATATTGCTTTTTAAAAAAAATTAATTTATTTTTGTTTTTTGCACAAATGGGATGCAACTTTTCATTTCTCTGGTTGTACATTATGTAGAGTCATACTCATACATAGGGTAATAATGTCCATCTCATTCCACCATCTTTCCCTGACACACACCCCTTCCCTTTCTCCCCGTCTCCTCTGTCCAATCCAAAGTTCCTCCATTCTTCCCTTGCCTCCCAAATTATGGATCAGCATCCACTTATCAGAGAAAAAATTTGGCCTTTGGTTTTGGGGGATTGGCTTACTTTACTTAGCATGATATTCTTCATTTACCTGCCAATGCCATAATTTCATTCTTCTTTGAGGCTGAGTAATATTCCATTGTATAAATATACTACAGTTTCTTGCTTTGAGAGAAGCAATGAGGAACAAAACCTGTATTTATAAGGGGTATGAAGACAGGATTGTCTTTTCCTGGAGCCAGTGTCATTGAAAGGAAACTTTTAGACAATTGTATAGATATTGGCATGTGTGACCCCTAGCACCCGATGTCTGCCACTTCTCTTTTATATTCAGCTTTGAAATTGTCAGAGGACTCATCCATTCACATTATTTATTCCCCCTGATTCTTACTCTGTGAATAATCTATATATGTTTTTTACCCCATCCAAGATTCTACTTCTATGTATGACTGACATCATTCTTTTTCCCAGATCCACAGCCCTTTCCTTCAAACTCTAAGAACCTTTAATGTCCTTCCTTGATCACCCTCCATGGTTTCTGCAAATCCATGTAATTTCTTTTCTTTAATCAATGATGAGGACACCCTTAACTCAAAGGAACTCTGAGATAGCATTACAGAATCATGACTCGGCAGTTACACTGCTTGATTCAGATCTTTTTTCCTTCATATTAAATATGTAAATGTTGGGATAAATAACTTGATTTCCTTAAAGCCCGATTGTGCCATATGTGAAGTGGAGATTAAAATTAGGAATTTTAAATCCTCCTAAATTTATCATAAGAAAAAGTTAGGTAGACCACCTAGCTTAATGTCTGGAGACCATGTATTGTAACCCAATAGATGGTGATGATGTTGGTGATGCTGGAGAACAAGACAGTGCTGTTGCTGCTCCCATGTTTCTGTAAGGCTCACCCTTGTGCTGGAGTGCGCCCAGAGTCAAACAGCTGTTTTGACTCTCTTAGGATTGGAGTGGGCTCAGGTTTACTTCTTTGGCACTCTAGAAGGCTTTGTAGACCCATAGCCCTTTGAAGTTCTTACCTATATTTATTAAAGATGTTTGAGTCAAAAATAAAGTTCATACCAACAGCATTTAGAGTGTTTGTTCAATTTTAGATGGGTGAAATCTCCATAGGATTGCTGATTCAGTAGATCTGGGTAGTGTCTGAGAATTTGCATTTATAACAAGTTCCCAGGTGATGCTGATACTGCTGATGTAAGGACCAGATTTTGGGAACCACTGTACCAAAAGATTTGTATTCTTTAATATCACATGGAGGAAAAGAAAGAAAAAAATATGTGTGGGAAGCCATACTGCATAATTTTACTCATTTTCAGATAGTGGTACCACTCCAAATATTCCTAAAATTAATCTTTTTAGACATGAAGACATGAGACAGAGAACAAATAGAACGATAGGTACCTTAACTTTCACACTCCCTTTTAGGCCCTCAAAGATGCTTACATAACTTAGCCCTCTGGAATGAAAATCTTCTCTCTCTCCCTAAACTGTCCCTTTTCAGGTTTTGAAGCAGAAAACAAAATTATTGTGTCATACTGGTTCATGAGGGTCACCACACATAGAATATCCTTGTTGAAATAAATATGCTGAGATTTTTGCTAGACTCTGTGTTTGTCTAAATGATAGCTATACACACTTTCCTCATAAGGTTAACTAAAGAAAGCTTTGCGTCAACAAAATTTATAGTTGCCTTTGAGATCCATTCTAATTTCTTGATATTAAATATTCCATCTGTGTACGTCAAGGGTACCTAAATACAAACATGTATTTGATATACTTAATAAATTGAGAGACCCTTATCTGAAGCCAGATTTTTTTGGTTCCCATGCCAGCAGCTTTATGGAGTCCAAGATCAAAGATTAAAAAAACACCACCCTTAACTTCAGTAAAATAAACAAATGAATATCAATGGCATTATTTTCAATAATAATTTATTCATTTTTTTTCTTCAAATGTTACTGTCCTGTGATTTTGATCTTTCTGATCATGCTGATATGGAAGCATATGTATTAACGCAATGTTTCTCTAGATACGATCCTTGATAACCTGCAGCCAAGTCAACATTATAGTTTTTTATACTTGTTAAAATGCAGATGCCTGAGAACCACATCCAGAACAACTGAAGTAGAATCCTTGTGGATGGGAGCAAAACTTGCACTTTGTAGGTGATTCAGAAAAACACAAAAAAATCTGAGAACTACTATTCTAAGGATCTAAGCAATCAATGAAAGGGATTTACTGCTGACTGACTGCTCATTTTCCCATATGACACTGCATCAAATTGTATTTAAAAGTATGTACAGCAGGTAATAGAGGATTACAATAATAATATTATAAATAAACCTGTGAATTCATTTAAAAAAGTAATCAATCAGGTTGCTTTAGCCCTGAGAATAGTAGCCCTCAAAATAAGTATAATTCTACAACTTCCATGTATATATAAATACCAAGAAAATTATGATATGAGGATTATTTT